TGCTGAGCTTCTGCAAAGATTATATGGGTTCAGGTTAAGATTTTCTGCCAAAAACTCTCTGACCACCTTCCAGTCTGTCCTTAACTCACTTACTAGTGTGCTTATACGTGACGAAACCAGAGATGACATCAGCTTGGGAGAAACGATCCACAGCGATGCCAGCTTTCCTCACTACCCCGTGGTAGGGCTGGCGAGCCAGTGTAAACATCAGTTTCATGTCATCACTGTCTGCGTCTGTGGCATAAATGTACTTTGAGGAGAGGATCGCTTCTTCACCCTCCAGGCAGTGGAGCACGGGAACAAGGCCTGTTCGCATAACAGGTGGTTCATCATTCACAGGCAACACCTAATCAGGAAAATAATATAAGATCTTTTATTTTTCATTTCAGTGGAAAACTGTTATTCTAATACATTGTTTTCCAGCCCAAACCAGCAGTACGGTGTCAGTGTCAGAGTACGCTGAGCTCTCTCTATGAACAAAATTAAACTAGTGGAATTAGGGTCACTCTTAAAATCCAAAGACAAAAGTAAACCAAACCAGACAATTATAGCTTGAGAAAAAAACCCTCACTTCCATATTTAAGTACAGAGAGAAGAATTCCAGACAGAAGAACCCAAGCTGGAGCAAGTACAGATGCCTTTCAGCTAGTACAAGCCAAATATCCTCTCAAATTTGCCACATAAACCTGAAAGCTAGGGTCCAAATGGAAGCCTAACAAGTCAATTATCTTCCGGTTTCCAAGGGAATGCAAAGAGTTTCAGAAGTCAAGTTTTGCACTCTTCTTCAGAATTGCTCTGAGACATATGCAACACACTGACCTTGATCTGCAGAATGAACTCTACAAAGTGGATGCCATCTGTGGCTGCAAAAAGGACATCATCAGTGAGTGTCTCAGAGCCATCATGCCGATACCTGTGTAAAAAAAAAAAAAAAAAATTTCACACAAACAAAGAAGCTGTGCTTTCTGGTCATGCCAGACAATGTGGATCCCTCCCAATATAAAAAGCCAATCCCCGTGCAAGCATGTCCATCTAAGACTGCTGATTCTGGATTGTAGTGTTTTCAGAGGGCTTGTGGGGTCTCCTACAAGAAGAAAACCCCCAAGATAAACCAGACATCAGCTAGAAAAAAGGTTTCACTGAGGCTTTATCATCTATTTTCTGGCTGCTTGTGAAGTGTCTACCGAACACGTGTGTCCTCGCTGTGGTAAGTGCCCTCTTTGACTAACGGAAACAGAGCCAGGGAGCTCAAATTCTGTGTGTATGGAGAAAGTCAAGTCTTGTTCTCGCCACAAAAACAGTGGCAAATTTTTTGTCTCTAGGTTAATCAGTGTTAACACAAATTTTCTCGTAAACTAACCAAGTTTAATAAACACACGGCTTCCTTAAAAGAAGCAAGCTGGCAACTATTGCCTTCTTCAAAGGAAGTGCATGGCTGAATACAGAATTTGCCGCCTCATCTGCATGGGGCAGTCCTTTATCGAGAAACCTGTCTACATCAGACATGGTCACTAGCTCCCTCTTCTTGGCCACACAGCAGCTCAGTTTCCACCGTGACCACTGTGGTCCTGAGGCTCAGCCAGCAATCTTGGCCTGGAGCAGCTCTGCCCGAGCCCTGCTATGGTGAGCATGGCTAGCTGTAGCCTCTGCGCCTTGCACCACTTCACCGCAGGGCTTTCACTCATCCGACTGGGATTCTCAGCCACCGCAAGACAAAAGGACAGCCACTCTTCTAACCTGACTGCCAGGGTGTGCAGGTGCCCCCAGGAAAGCCTGTCGCCTTCATTCATGGGAATGCCGTCCAGCTCCACCGCCCCATGCTGAGGCTGTCTCTGCAGGAGGAGGAGGAGATGCTCCCGTTTCGTGTCCACGTCAGAGATGAGAATGTGTCCCTCTGTGACAGGGCTCAGGCCACCCTCTTCCACTCTCAGATGGCTTGTAAAAACCTGCATGGAGGAGAAATGCTGAACTCTCTTTTCTACTGCACCTCCAAACTTACACCAGTGAGGGTAATGTCAATTTGCTCCGGTATGAGGACATATGGCACCTTAAAAACCAAAATGCTGAAGGCTGTACTCTTTTCTGCTGTGTTAGGAAAACCTAAGGAATTTACTAACAGTAGGCCCTAATACACGCAGCCCTGTCCTGATCCCCTTCATGGAGGCTCCTGGCCTTCATAGGCAACAGGCAACACAAAGAGGAGGGATGCAGTGACGTGCCACACCAGGATGTGACATACGTAGTTTTGTACAGCCACTCAGACACGGAAGGTAGCCCTCAGCTTATTTAGCACAAAAAATCACCTTGCACACTCACCAGACTTTGACTTGCACTTCAGTCCCAATGCAGGCTACATGCAAGACATTGATACCTTGATCGCATGGAAAGTTTATTTTTTATTTCAGTCAGATCAGGACATCTCTCTACATTTCAGTTTCTACCCAAAGCTATTTCCAAGTCCTTCCCTCTCGCCTTCACCACCACCCTACCTCTGGGGCTTGATTATCCACAGGAAGAATTGTAATATTGAAGCAGATCCCATACAAAGTGCCACCATGCTGATTGCTGATGGAAAAAATAAACTGGACTTGCTGAGGCTCAGGCCCAATGTCCTGCAGTGGCGGCATGTAGGCAACTTTCATATAGTTCACAGCATGCTGCCAAAAAGAAGAGGGGGACATGTAAGAAGAGATCATATGAGTCACCGTAATTCAGGACATTAGGGACCTTTCTCATCTCCTGATTAGATGTTATCCAAACTGTCAAAGTTAATTCCAGAAACTTTTCACATACTCTTTAGCTACTGTCAATACCTTGATTAAATGTATCTTTAGCTACCAATCAGGTAAGTACAGTTTCAAATACTCAAACCTGTAGCAAAAAATACAGACGCAGTTTATAAGTGATAACAGAGGCAATAGCCTTACTGTCTTGATGAAGCCTTTTAAGAATACTGGTCCCAGAGCCTTTTCTAATTGTGACTTTAAAATAAACAGTTCATCAAAGCATAGCTTTTAGTGTAACATCTCCCGTTGCAGCTGAATTTGCCCTCACCAGTATGAATAAACTGAACACTCTGCCTCCCCAGATGAGGGCAGGCCAGTGAAAGAGACTAAAATAATCACCAAAATCTTGCATCCAGACACCCATATTAGGCATGTAGTTAAGGATTTATAGACTAAGAGCTCTCATTGTGGGACTGCAACAATCACCATTATGCAGCCTTAGCCATACAGCAGGATCTAAACCAAGGTACTTTATGAATATTCATGACACCTGTCAAACTATAGAAGCATGAAAACTGAACAAAATCCTGAAAAAGGCCTGTTCCAGCCTGTACCATATCTATTGGTGGAGACACTGAGAAGAAGCAGTAAACTGTCAAGGCCTCATTTCCACATTTTGTATATTTTTCCCTTCCTCTTGATATCATGCTGGAGCCAAATTCAGCCTACCCTAAGCAACTGCAGCCTCTGCTGGTTTCAGGAGAGATGTGTTTACATATTGCAGAACTGAAGCATGATGGAAATTTGTTCTAAAAGCTGGAATTGAATTAGCAAAGTTTTCAGTTTCCTAAGCAGAGCTCATGATAGTACTGCTCTTCATTTTTCACCTCTTGTTTTCCCATCAAAAAGAAGCTGTACGCTTGTAACTTTAAAAAATTGTTTAGAAGTGCTTATGGTGTCAGGTAACATAACAAACCTGAGTAAATGACCACAGTGCAAGAGCAGCAGGATCCTTGACCAGCTTGGGGATGGTGTCCACCATAAACAGCTTCCCAGCATCTGAGTGGCTGTACAAAAATACATATGTCACACTTCAGTTAGCAATACTGAAAAACGGGAAAAACAGTCACATAGTTCAGTCTTGCATTTCAAATTAACCTCCCACTCCCAACTGCATTGAAAGGAAAAGCAGTTTTCTTTTTTCTATCCCTGTTATTCATTTAAACATCATCACAGAAGACTGACCACAAGAAATATTTTTCAGGATGGCTATGAAAAATCAGTGCACACCTTATAAGAATGCTCTGGGTTTGCTACTTGTGTGTGTCTGCACACCCCAGATACCATTTACACCACCTGCAAGTCTAGTCCATCACATTCTTATTACTTACGCACCTGCATTTATCTTTATGTAGAAAAATAAATTATTTCTCGTTATTGTGCATCTTCTAAACTTCTGAAATGAGCCAGTTTACAGCAAGCCAGCTTTCCAACAGCAGTAACCAGCCAACTGGATAACCATGTGGCTATTTGACTGAATAGGGGAACAGCCTAAATGTCCTTTTCCCCCAGCTGTGTACTGATCCTCTGTTGCTCCAGGTCAAAATTGAAAGTGTTGATCTTCAGGATAAACCATACAATGGCTGGATTTTAAACTTTTCTATTTAGCAAATTGTTGCCAATGCTGTCATGAATTTACCAAATGGTGAAAGAGCATCAGTGACATTTAAACTGCTACTACACCTATCCATCCCATACCCCTATTGCCCCCATAACCTGTTCTGCCTGTGTTCTGCTCCACAGGTTCCTGGTCCAGGACCAGGAGTCTTTCACAGTGCGGTGGTAATAATATATATCCTAGAAAAAGCTGTAGCATCTCATCTTCTCAGTCTGTGACAGGTCCAGATCAGCCCCACTCTATCGGTTAAGAGAGGTGCTGTGACTTGTGTTCAAGGCTGTACAGGATCCCACAGGCCAGTGTAAAATGCAAGTCCAACAAAAGAAAATAAAAGATTTCAGGTGCTTTCCTCCTTCTTATTTCTTGCTAAACTATGCTTCTCTTTTTCTTTTTCTTTTTTTTTTTTTTTATTGCTCTATATATTATTCTCTTGTTTCAGCTCTAGCTCACCCTTATTCGTCAACAGAAGAGCTGCACCCAGCTATTGTCACCTGCACTTTAAGCAAACAGATGAAGAACCTGAGACACAAGCATGCTACTGCCACTGCGGCTGCTCCTCTTACAAGCCCACCTGAAAGGTATGGCAGGTCACACCTACCCGTGCGTGCAAGAGAAAAATGGGGAAGTAGTTATGGTGTATGTGAGTTCCCTGTCTTGCTCTTCCACATCTATGAAATGGAGATGTTTCTTTGTTAGGTGAGCAATCTCAGTCTCCTTAACAACCAGGTGACGGGTCACACCTGGGGCTTCTCTTGGTAGCTGGTCGTCCACAGGGATAATGTGCACCATCATCACCTGAAATCAGGAAGATAGTAAAATCAGCAGCCATTCCTCTCCATAAGAGAGTGTCCAAGCAGCTGTTCACAAACGTGCACACACAGAAGGTAAGTGTATCACTGGAATATGAGATCCAGGATGTGGCTGCCATGCCATATCATGAACACACAAGAAATAGAGATATACCACAGTTAAATGCAAAGCCTATGAATCGTAGTGATTTCCCTTTAAATTAAAAACAAAATTAAATTCAGTATGTTGGAGTACTGGGTGAAATAAATACTCTCTTCTCAGTTGACTTCAGGAGGGCTGTTCAGTTTGTTCGTACCATCTCCAAATCTAATTTCTTTTCAACATTTCATTTTACGGTGTAGGAAAAAGTCATTGCAACGGACTTGTCTCTCTGTGGCCAGGCAGAGAGAATTACCCCATGGAAAGCAAGAACGAGAGCTAGCTCTGAAGAACATTATTTGTGCTGATGACCATGGTGATGGCAAACAGAAAAGTTCTATACCAGTTTGATTTGAAAGTCTGTCAGAAGGTGTAAAATCATTCGACATTTGAAAAAAGGACTTTGACAAAGATGCTTCAGTTTCATACCTGTGGCTTTGAGAGATTGGGAGGGTCATGGCTATCACACAGCACAAATTCAAGGGAATCTTCAAATATTTCTCCTCCCAAATGATGATAATAAATTATTCCATTAAATAGATCCCTCTGAAGAAAACTGCTGACAGAATACCCTGTTGAATTGAAGAATATATCTTCTATTGAACAGTGCATCATTTTAATAATTCATAAAAATTATCCATTAGCCTTGTAAGTAACTGGTAAAACATAATGTCGTCTTTCTCACCCTAACTAGGGCAAGCCCTTTGGAATGTTATCTCATTGTCTTCCACGTATCCTGAAGATCATCAACTTCTTTTCTATGTCACTTAAAGATCATTCAAAAAAATGAAGCAACACAGCAAATAGCCTAAAGCTCTGTTCAGAGGACAAAAAAGAATTTGCAGGACTAGCAGCCTCTGCACAGGACTTTCTGAGATCTGTTAAATGGAAGGAGATCTTTCTTCCTCTTTTAGTGTTATTAGCATCATCTGATAGCTTTGAAGTTGTCAGGGATCCTTGCAGATGAAATAACTCCTGATTATCCCAACTTTTCTGGAGGAGAAAAGTACAGTAGGGAAATGGACTCAGAATGGAAGAATTATGGGATAAATTGTGTTCACAGGTATAGTTATCCTGGTGCAGAGACCAACATTAATTAAAGATGGGGATTTACACTATACTGAAAGAAGTCCAAATTTGCCATGACTTGTCCTGAGTCAAAATAAGTTGTCTAATTGTAACATTTAATGTAGTTAAAAAAGGAGGGGATGAAGAAAGCATGCTATTGTGGATGGGTTTCATTACCTATCAAGTTTGGTCCTGGTTTCTTCATGATTTCTCCAGCCTGTGGTGGCTTGGTAATATTGAATAGTATGTAATCATCGCTGGAATCCATGTCAGAAGCATGGAGCATGGAGCCCTGAATCAGGATCATCTGTCCCTCATAAACTTCAATGACCATATTGCTGATAAGAAATGGAGGGCTGTCATCTTTAGGGAGGATATTGATTGGAAACTTATGCCGAATACTGTGGAGGCCATCGAAAATCCTAAATACCACAAAGTCCTTAGTAGAATCACTGTCATCATGATGGTAGTGAACAACTCCAGCCTGAATGTCAGAGACTGTGAACATGAATCCTTTCCCTCCTGCCAAAACAGTGGAAGAAAACACATCAAAAACGTGCAGCTGAGCCCAGAGGAGAATTCTTCCACCAATATGAGTGTTATTAAGGGAGAGAGAAGGAGGACGCATTTCTAACCAGAAAAATCAAATGTAACTTCACCTACTGGAAACAAGTTTGTAGAAGTTGGAATAGTTAATAAGAATGCAGAATTTACAACCATGGTTGCAGAGAAAATCCTCCAAATGTCCATTGCACTAAAGATAACTTGAGATAGCAAGGGTTTTTAACTGCAACTGTTTCTACTTTAATTTCAACCTCTACTTTCTTAACAGAACATTTTACATGTATTTTAAGCATCAAAGATAATATGATTTATCATTACAGCTCAGCATTTCATTGCAAGTAAGAAATAACATTTGTGGGTCTTGATTTTTTCTGCATATTGAGGTTACTGTCTATTATAACACAATTTTATACCTCTGCTTCACTAGGCACGTTATGCACACACACAAGTATTCAGGCAAGTTAAATGTTTTGAGAACTGCAAACTGGTACTGGAAGAGATGATCTCCCCCTGGGTCTCCAAGGAAATTTTTTTTTTTTTGCTTTCCATGCTGTGTAACATCAGCAGAGACACCCACCCACTCCCTTTGCTCCTTACTTGAAGGAAGGAAACTTTAGGATGGAGAAATAACTGCCTCACCAGCAAACAGAAACCTGCTGAAGGTGACAGAAGGCAGGGAACACCACCACATGTAGCTCCCTGTTTCTTTCAGGACTTTCCTTTAGCTCAAGTACTGGCCTTATCAAACCCAACAAAACAGCATTCAAAACATTGGGTTGGTTCACCGTGCCCCAGAGTGCATGGGAGTCCTGCCACTGACTCAGACCATTTGACAGCAGTATTGGAGGTACGGTGCAGCTGGAGGGCTAAACCTGAGCTTTCCTTCGAAGTTTGAATGTCAGTTGGTGCTTGCTAGACAAAAAAGGCAATTGCCAAAAATTGTGGTGATGGTTTCCTTTGCATGTGCCTATGCAGACATGTAAAAGCAAATAAGGTATGGTCAGTGGTGAAGAAATATCCACCACTGGCTGGCCCACAGGAGGCTAAGAAACCCCAGGAGGCTGCATGCAAGGATGGGACTGCCGCCATGAGATGGGCCCTGGGTTCTGCATGCTCCTGCAGGCACAGCTGGTTTGCTGCTCTACAGCCTGCAGCCCACTCCCTGGCTGG